GGGGGGGGGGGAGTACATTTCTGTAGTTTCCCGACTCTGATTATACCCAGTAGCTTTATTTGTGCTTGATTCTGCCACATGCCTGCCTACATCGAGCTCACAGAAATACGTTTCTTTCTACAAAGACTCCAACAGCAACAAACACACCTATGCTCGTCTGTACTTTTTTTTTTTTTTTTTAAATCTTTATTGATTTCAGAGAGAGGAAAGGAGAGGGAGAGAGATAGAAACATCAATGATGAGAGAGTCATTGATCGAGCCCGCAACTGGGCATGTGCCCTGACCAGGAATCGAACCCTGATTGCCTGGATCCTAGGTCGACGCTCAACCGCTGAGCCACGCCCGGCCGGGCTCGTCTGTACTTAGTATACTCGCACCGTTAGCTCACATGGTTCCCCCAGCAGCCCGGCGAGGAGGCCGTAGCACGTCACAGAGAAGGGCACGGCCTTTTTCACGGGATCTGTTAGGAGGAGGACAGGTGAGAGGCCCACTCACCTGCTTCTGGGCTGGATGCTCTCTGACTCCCGTTTCGATGCTGGAATTTCCCCCTCTAGGAGTGAGGGCGTGAATGTCGTACGCGTGTCAGAGTCAGTGATGGAAGCAATCCGCCACAGGCCGAGGACCTTTCCAACGCCTGTCAGCATCGCCCGTCGTTTGTCATGAAGAACAAGGCGTTCGCTTGGGCTTAGCTTTCCCGCGAGCGCCTCTGCGGCCCATCCCAGCGGTGGCTTCCACATCTGCAGGGGGTGACAGCGCAGGGGAGGGCGGCTGCCTTTCAGACGGTGGCAGTTTCTGGCCTCCTGCGAGGGGGTTAGGGGGCGAGGAGGGTCAGCCTGAAGAAAGTGAGGGATGGCCGAACCCCCATCCCGCTCAAAACAAAAAGCTTCTACTCAGACTCATTCCCCGCTAAAGAAGGGTTAACCACACCACCGCGTGGGCTTTCCTGCGTCCAGGCACTTACCTTGCTTCTGTCTTGGGTGAGATCAGCCCCATTTATAAATGAGAGTTTTGTTTGGAGGGGAAGGAGCCAGCCCGGGTGGGAGTCCAGGTGTGGGGCCCTCCGGGAGTCATCCACAGAGGCCAGGGTGCCAAGCGGGCAGGAGACAGGCGCTTAGAACCATAAAGCAGACCAAAACAGAACAAAGAGCGATGCCTGGTGTCTTCTGCAGCCTTCCCTAGAGTGCCCAAATCATCCAGTGGGTACAGCTCAATAACTGCTTTTCCCTGAGTGAGGGTAATTAAGCATTCTTTTTGTTTCTTTGCTTTGTTAATCTTCACCTGAGGATATTTTTTCCATTGCTTTTTAGAGAGAGGGAGGGAGGGAGGAGAGAGACCCATCAATTGGTTGCCTCCCGCACACTCCTCGACCCGGCGGGGATCGAACCTGCCACCCAAGTACGTGCCCTTGACTTGGAATCGAGCCCAAGATCCTTTGGTGCTCGGGGCAACGCTCTCACCGCTGAGCCACACCAGCCAGGGAAGAATTAAGCGTTCTTGAAGGACACGGGCAAAGTTGTAGCGTCAGAATGTCTTTGCAGCGCAGTTTATAGCAGCAATGAGTTGGCAGTAACCTAACCGTGGAGGGTGGGGACGGTTCAGGAAACCTCGCTCATCCGTGGCTGGAGAAAGGTATCCGCCCTCCAACACTGTGCCCTGAGGTGTGTGTCGATGGGCCGGGTATTGCAGGGGGAGTCGTTTTCCCCGCGTCACTACAGTCTTTGCTGCTTCGCGGGCGCTCTGCTGTGCGCTGAGGTTGCGGGAAATCTGCGCAGAGTGAATTGCTGAGCTTCTGGCAGGGCTCGCCTCTGCTCACAAGCCTCTGGGGTTTCCAAGCCTCCCCCAGTTGCACGGCGTTGTTTGGGAGTAAACTTTAGGAAATTTCTAAGCTTTTTTTTTTTTTTTTGCCTCCCTGCTTGTATTTTCATTTCAGCTCCAGACACAGCTGCCTGTTGGGCGGAGGGAGAGATGGGACCTCAGGTCGACCCCTGTCCCTCTGCCCTGCACCCTCTTTGGCCTGCGCACACTTTACACACAGCCGGCTTCATGCACGCGCAGGTGAAGGGTGCCTCTCCGCCTCTAGCCCTTTATATTCTCGGGGGGAAATGTATCATGCTCTTTGGCCTTGAAACACAGGGGCCCTTAGGAAAGGGTGACATTCCAGAATTTATTTCCCTTTTGGCAAATGACATGCAACTGTTTTCGGAGAGGAGTGCTGCCTGGTTAGGTGAAGCTGCCCGGGACCGTCTGCAGCCCCAGCTGCTCACCTAGCGTGGCACCTGGTCAGCTACATGGGCCTTCTCCCCTGCCCACGGAAGGAGAAGGCGCTCAGCTCGCTCATGGGTCTAGGCGGTTAAAATCCAAAAGCCTCAATGTCTTGGATGCAGCTACTTTGCCAAGTAAACGTCCTGAAAATACTGACATCTCTGGAATTAGGTTCTCCTTACCAAGGGGTATTAAATGTCGGCACGTGAGAAGCCAGAGTGTCAGAGCACCCCCACTTCCCCTCACCCCCATCAACTTAGGCCCTCCCAGTGCTGCTGAGAGTACTCACACCAGCTAATTTATGCATCACCCACCTAGGAGCACCTTGGTTGCTTCTAAGTGTTGGCAACTGTGAGTAAAGCTGAAATAAATGTCCACTTGCAGATTTCTGTGTGGACACAACTCCTTTGAGTAAATACTAAGAAATGCAACTATTAGATCCTACGGTCAGAGTGTTTAGTTTTGTAAGAAACTGCCAAACTGTCTCCCAAAGTGGCTGCGCCATTTTTTTGTTCCCACCAGCAGTGAACAAGGGTTCTTATTGCTCCACAGCCTCGCCAGCATTTGGCATTATTAGTGTTTTGGATTTTGGCCACTTTAATAGGTGTGTGGGAGCATGTCATTCTTGTTTTAGTCTGCGGCCCCCTGATGACATAAGATGTTGAGTGGATTTTTCGATGGGCATTGTGAGGGCACATGATGGCATGAAAACACAAACTCTTTGTTGAAAGCACTTAAAATCATTTTATTTTGGGTATTTCATGAAAAGCAATGACATGATCATCACGGCGAAAACTAAATTTGTTGGACTTGCACGCAGTTCATTTCTGGTTGGGGAGCGCTTTTACGCTGGCCTGGTGCTGGGAGCTCACCACCACCCTGTTCCTGAAGGTCCTATCCGGCCCTCTCAGTCCTCATATGCTGTTAGCAAGTCCTGTGTGTGGACACCTGGGTTGACCCACCTTTGGGCTATTGTGAATGATGCTGCTATGAACATGGGTGTTTAAACACCTGAGTCCCTGCTAGAACACCTGGGAATAAAATAAAATATCAGGCGATCACGAGAGAGCGCCTCCAGACGGAGCATGGTGGCTCCTGTGACATCAGAAAACGGATTCTCTATAAAGCACGGTCGAGGGCCGTTCTGATTGCAACTAACACATACCAGCAATGTCTTCGTAACGTGACAAACACTGTATTTTGCATGCTTGCCACGGTACATGAATACTCAGGAAGAAAATCCCACCCAGCAAATGCCAGCCAACACAAGGAATGGAGTGACTCCAGCCCTCCCGGTGGTTGCCCTCCACCCTCAGACCAATGAGCTCAGCGTCTTCCTCACCTGATCCCACAGGGCCGCCTTCCTCCAACACCGCCTCCCTTTCCAGCCTCACCGCCAAGTCCCTTCGTCTGTCCTGTCATTCTTGCTGCTATTCACGCAGCCCTTCTGCCGAATGCGCTTCCCCTGCTCCTTCACGGGCTGCGCTTTCAGCGGGGAGGAGTTGCTTGGTTGCCCAAAGGCCCAG